AAAAACAAAAATAAAAACCCTCTCTTAAAAGGGGGTGGTGGAGGACCAGCAGGTGGTGTAATGGTTAAGACACTGGACACTCCCATATGGCTGACCATGGTTTGAGTCCTGGACCCGTGGCTTGCTTTCTCACTCTCTCTTTCTGTATCCCTCTCTGGTCAAATTAAAATAAATGAATGAATAAATAAATATACTTTTTTTTTAAAAAAAGGAGGGGTGGATTTGGACACAGACTTATACACAGGGAGAGGATGTCCTGTGAAAATGAAGAGAAAGATCCAAAGAGTGCCAGCAAACTACTAGAAGCTAGAAGAGGCACTAAGCAAATTCTCTTTCACAGTCATCACAAGGAACCAGCCCTACCTTAATCTTGGACTTCGAGCCTCCAGAACCACAAAACAATATATTTCTGTTGTTGAAGCTAGTTTCTGGTACTTTTTTGGCGGGGGCGGGGAGAGGTTTTTGCTATAGGGTGCATGCGCTCACCAGAAAGACAGAGACAGAGACAGAAAGGGAGAAATTACCCCCTAGGGGGGATGGTCACGCCACAATCCCTTCTCCTCAGTTCTCCTCTCAGGATCGTGGCATGCACACACATGTGCCCGGCATGAGTTTAAGCCACTGGGCCCAGGACTAGAACCGCAGTTGACTACATGGGAGTCCAGCAACATAGCCATTACACTAACTGCTGGTCCTATCTGGTACTTTGTTACAACTGTCCTAGCAAGCTAGCACCAAAGCCTGTATAAATTTCTTTTCTGCTTTCGTTAGTTTAGTTAGTTTCTCTTATTTGGAACTGAGAACCATGGCTAGTGCAAGCTCCCAAAGGGTGTGGAGAAATCACCAGCTATAGCAATATGTACAAAGTAAGCACAGGGGGAAAGGGAACGAGCCAGATTGAACAATCCTTGGGAGTGGCATTTTATTGTTGTCCCAGACAGAGTGAGAAATCTACCACAAATGAGAACAAAGGGGCTCAGTGGTAAAGTCTGGGTCAGGGCGGACATCTGTCTGAGGGAAGTTGGGGAAGTCTGAGACTCTGAGGGAACTAGAGGATGCTCCAAGCCAAAGGGGCTGAAAGCAAGGCCAGGATACTGAGACTGGTGAGAATGTGGGAAGAGAGGTCAGGCTTCCCAAGGATGCAAGAAAGATCCAGAATAATGAGTGTAATGAACTGAATGTTTGTGGTTCCCCACCCCCATTCATATGCTGAAATCTTAATCCTCAATGTGATGGCATTAGGAGGTGGGCCTTTGGGAGGTGACCAGATTGGGAGAATAGAGTCCTCATAAATGGGATTAGTGCCTTGTAAAAAAGGGTTCCCAGGGAGCTCTCTCCACTCTTTTTCTTACAAGAAGTAAGCTGTCCGCAACCTGGAAGGGGGCCCTCACCAAGACACTGGATCTGCCAGCGCTTTGAGCTTGGACTTCCCAGCCTGTAAAATTATGAGAAATAGATGTTATTTAAGCTCTCCAGTCTATTGTATTTTATTAGAAGCAGCCTAGCTAAAACAATGGGTGTGTCCAGGTGCCAGAGATCTGGGGAACTGCCATGCAGGAAATGCCCTAGTACGGATGTTGACGCTGACTTCCAGCGACTCCAGAGGGAAAACAGCACAGGACCATCTGTACCCGCAGGTGAGGGGAGGCCACCTCAGCTGCTCACCACAGGGGGCTGGTTTGAAGGTGGGCCTGGTAGGTTCTTCCTGTTTTGTTCCTATTTTTAATTACAATGTTCTGCTTTGTTTAAAGATAAAACCAGTATGGCCCTAAATAGCTCTGTGTTTTGTTATTGAAATATATTTCTATTCCTCGTTTTTTGTTTGATAAGAAATAGTTATTTCAGCACCTGTTGAAATTCAGCAATGTGGGTGATAACTATCATTATTATTATTATTAATGGATGTCTTTGTGTCAAAGCCACCAGTCATTCTTGGGATGAAGCCTTTTTATTCATGGTGTAATGTTTTCCATTACATAGATTTTTATTTTATTGCTTTAATTTGCCAGAGGACACATGCACTTGCCTGAGAGAGAAAGAGAGAGGAAAGCATCCCCCATGGGGAATGGACACTCCACAACCCCTTCTCCATTTCTCCCTCCTTTCAGAATTTGGGGCACATACCTACAGACACCTAGCGTGTTTCTCAAGCTACCAAATCTGGAACTCAAACTGCTTGGGCAGCCATGTGGAATCCAGGTCACTTACCACTAGGCCAGGGGCTGACCCCCACCTATCCATTACATATCAAATTCATTTTACTTTTTTTTTTAATGTTAGGTTTTTGCCATAGGATGCATGTGTTCGCTGGAAAGAGACAGAGAGGAAAAGTGAGAAATCACCCCCCAGGGGGTGATGGCCATGTCACAGTCGCTTTTCCTCCATGCTTCTCTCAGGATTCTCGGCATACATGCACATGTACCATGTAGTTTTCGAGCCTCCGGGTCTATGACTCAAACCATGGTAAGCCATCTGGGAATCCAGCACCTCAACCACCATGCCATCCACTGGCCCCCACTTTACATATACTTTAATGGAAATTTTGTGAGTGATTTATATGCATAGGAGGGAATTCCCCAAAGTGGTAGTTCTCAATCTTTCTTTTATTGGAGGGACCTTTTTAGACCTTTTTTTTAAAAAGAAAAAATATTTGTTTATTTAATTTATTATTGTTATTTTAAAGTTTACTATAGGGCACTTAATGTTCACCAGAGACAGAGAGAGAGGGGGGGGAAAGTGAGAGAGCAAGCCAGCAGGTCAGGGACTTGAACCAAGGTTGGCCAGGTGGGAGTCCACTGCCCCAACCACTATGCCACCTGCTGGCCCTAGACCTTTTTACTTAATTGCGCTCTGTATAATTTTAATACCATAGATATACTTTCTCTCTCTATATATATGTATATATACACACACATGCATGTAGAGCTGCACTTCCTATATATAGAGAGTAAGATTATTTTAGTCCTGTCAGAAAGCAAGTTTGACCCCTTGGGCGTAGATACCCTCCACTGAATGTATGGCCTAGAGCAGAGGTCCGCAACTCCCAAGCCATAGACTGGTACTGGAGATCTCTCCATATTAGGAAGGCAGGAGTCCACCTCCAGCTAGTACCCCTCTGTGATCCTTCCTTCCTTCCTTCCTTCCTTTTTTTTAAAGCAAGTCTGAAGTCTGGGGTTTGTGTAATGGCTATGTTGCTGGACTCCCATGTAGTTGATCGCAGTTTGAATCCCGCACCTGGTGGCTTAAACTCACTCTGGGCACGTGTGCGTGTGTGCCCAAGATCCCAAGAGGAGAATGGAAGAGAAGGAATTGTGGTGTGGCCATCCTCCTGGAGGGTGATTTCTCACTTTTGGTCTCTCTGTCTTTCTGGTGAGTGCATGCGCCCCATAGCAAAAACCTCCCCCTTCCCCCTCAAAGAAAAACAAACAAACAAAAACCAAGTCTGCCCCAGAGCTTTCCACTTTTACTGCTATCTCCAAAAAACCTTTGCCAAGTAGACATCCTAGGTTGTCTCTTGTCTCTAGCAGATCACACCAGCTCTTCTCTTAACCACTCCCCCTATTTCAGCAACACACTTACGGGTTGTGGAGTGGTCTCCCTCTCAGGTCAGCCTAGAATCAGGCCCCTACTAACCGCTTATGGATACTCCTTAACTCATAGTTAGGCCCCTGGGCTTGTCCCAGCCCTTAAGAAGAAGTCTCTTAGAGTTGAAATCAATGAATATCTCATACTATGCATAATTTTCCATTGCCCAAGGTAATTGTCTAGTAGTCTCACGCATCACATGCCAAGTCACAAACAAAATTTCGACTAGTTGAAAAACAACAGAAAGGATACATGCTATGTTCTCTGGCCAATTTCAAATGGAAAGTAAAGTTAACAAAGCAAATAAAAATAAACCAACTACTTGGAAATTTAAAAATACTTACTGAATCAACAATGAAATTGGGAAGGAAATTAAGAACACAAAAGGAGTTTACTCAGAAAACAATGATGGTTAAAGCATGCCACAGACATCTCTGTGGAATGTACTCAGAGTAGTACTTTCAGGAAGTTTTATGATTAAAATTTTTTTTTTTTGGTGGTTAATAAAAAGAGAATGTTGTGGGACCAGCGAATGGAGTAATGATTATGTCGCTAGTCTCCCATGCAGTCGACCGTGGTTCCAGTCCTGGACCTGGAGGCTTAAATTCACACTGGGCATGTGTGCATGTGCACCCAAAATCCCGAGAGGAGATTGGAGGGGAAGGGATCGCAGCGTGGTCACCCTCGGGGGGGTGACTTCTTGCTTTTTGTCTCTCTGTCTCTCCAGCGAGCACAGATGCCCTATAGCAAAAAAAAAAAAAAAAAAAAAAAAAAAAAGAGAGAGAGAGAGAGAATATTGTGGAAAGAATTCAACTTAAGATATTAGAAGAAGAATGAGAAGATAATCCATAGTAAAGAAGAAGAGAATTATGGCCTTGGAGCTGGCAGGTGGGATGGTGGTTAGGGTGCTAGACTCCCACATGACCGACCACGATTCAAGTCCTGGACCTAGCAGCTTGCTTTCTCACTTTCCCTCTCCCTCTCTCTCTCTCTGGTCAAATTTTAGCAATTAATTAATTAATTAAACAATTCTTCAAAAAAAATAAGAAAATTATGGCCATAGGAGCAGGAAATAATTTTGAAAATGAAAAATAATTTTAATGAACTCAATAAATAAAACCCAGAGATAAATATTTGAAAAGTGAATCCAAAATTCAATGACATTTGAATTGGGAAAGGAGATGCCAACCAGTATATAAAAATGTAAAAATAAGAAAATAGAGCACAAAAGTAAATGCCAATAACACTTGAACATAAGAATGAAAATAACTTTTTTTTATAGTGTATAAGTCCCAACTTTAACCAATATTAAACTATAACTTGGGAAGTGGGAGAAAACTTTGGAAAGTAATTCATCTGGAAATGTCCAGAGGAAGGAAGCAGAACTCATGTGGCCATGTGAAGTTCAGGACACCTTGTGGAATGGGGTAATTGAGGTTTTGATGCATCAGGGGAAACTGAGACCATCGACGTCTCAGTCACTCACGTGTCTGGGCTGAGATTGCAACCACTACAGTTCCATGCACTGCAGTGGGGAAAGCCTGTCTAGGCCTGGAATAATGGCTCCACAGAGTCATCAGACACCTCTTTCTTTCCTTCCCTCTTTTTCCTTGCCAGTCTCAGGATTGACTGTTGAAGTTTAGCCACCACATCTGCACTCCTAGAACAGGAAAGAAAGGGTGAAAGGACAGAAAAAGCACCTTCCCAGCTGAATTGGCTTCCTGGAGAAATCTTCCTGGATGTCCTACTTTGCTTTTTCCCGCTCATTAACCATAGGCCACATGACCAGTCCTTGTTGCAAGGAATGCTGGGAAATGTCATATTTTAGTTGGGTGCATTACCACCCTGAACAAAGTCACAGTTCCATTAACCAAGGAAGAAGGGGAACCTAGATAGTGGGTGGGCAACCAGCAGTCTCTGCCACATCCCCCCAGGTGAGAAGGTACGTGTTTACCAGAAAGAGACAAGGAGTGGGAGGGTGAGAAGGCACCTCCTGAGGGGCATGGTCATGGCATGATCATGGTCATGGCATGGTCATGGCATGGTCCCTTCTTCTCCATTGCTCCCTTTTGTTGGGAATTTGGGCATGCACTCAAATGTACCCTGCATGTTTTTTCAGGCCACTGACTTGAATGTACAGTCAACCATGTGTGATCCAGCTGCCTTAACCACATGCCATGGGTGGTTGCTTCATTTAAAGCAAAGCAGCCACAGTTCCTAGAGCTATTCTAGTGGATGTGCATAACCGCTATTGACTGAGTTTGAACTCCAGACTGAGGCAATCAATATAGTCTTTCCAACAATCCTACAAGGTAGACATAACCATCCGCCCCCTTGCATACTCTTGGTATATACGACTTGGAGGGCGGGTCATACAGTGAGCAAGGACTGGGACTAGAGTCTACTTCCATGGTCTTCATGTCTCCACTGTACTGCCTTTTTTTTTTTTTTTTTCCTTGCTGGTTGTCTCAGCTTGGGTTACTGGAACAACATACCATTGACTGGGTGGCTTAGACAACAGGCACTTAGATGGCACAGTGCTGAGGCTGGGAAGTCCAAGATCAGGATGCTGGCAGATGTGCTGTTTGGTGGAGGCTCACCTCCTGACTGGCAGACAGCTGCCCTCTCACTGTGACATCACTTGCTATGGGTATGCTCTTAGATCTCTCTTTCTCTGCCTCTTTTCAAAGTGCACTAATCCCATCATGAGAGTCCTGCCTTCATGACCTTAATTTAAAGCCAATTGCCTCCAAAGATAGCACCTCTAAATACCAGCAAACTGCAGGCTGGGCTTCAACTTATGAATGGGAAGTGGGCACACAAATAGCCCTAATGCTGTCACTTGCTATATCATCCAATACATATCTTTCCACTTTTCTTACTAAGATAACTCTAATTTTGTTAGGATAGCAATGCATCCATGTTAAAAAAAAATTCACTTGCAACCAAAAGAAGTCATATAACCTACTTGAGGGCCAATGAGATTTGAAAGACAGACTATTAGGTGAAGTTTCCAGAAAATATGTTCTTTTCTTAATTGAGAGAGACTAATTTAGCTGGCTTGCATTGTTTCCCTTTCTTCCTGCCTAGAACGCAGAGTCAATGTCTGGAGGCAAAGTGGCCATCTTGTACAATGAGGCTAGGCACAGCACACTGTAACAGCATGAAGTTAGGAGACACACGAGTAACTTGAAAACTTCTGCAACCTTTGCACGGGCCCCAGGGACCTTCTACTAGACTTCTTGTTACATGGGGAAAACTGCATTTGATTAAGCTGCTCTGTTGGGTTTCTATTATTATTTAGCTAAATTCAAGCCTGAGACTAGGACATTAAACTTACTTACTATACGGGCCAACTGGTGGCACAGTAGTATAACACTCTTGACACGCCAGACTCACATGAGAAGTTCGCTGTTTGTATCCCGGGCCTCCCTGTGTATGCTGGTTATGCACACATGCCTCTGAACTGCACTGGCGGGCACTGAGGGTGAATCACAGCATCAAGAGTCCTATGGATGTGTGTGTATGATTGTCTGTCTGTCTCTTTCTTCCTGTCTCTCTCTTTCTCATGAAGGAGATAAACCAAGAACAAATTTCTTTTTATTTAATGAGGACCAGCAGATGGCATAATGGTTACATTGCTGAGCTCCCACATGGCTAACCATAGTTTGAATCCAGAACCTGGTGGCTTAAAATTTATGCCAGGTACATGTGCGTGCGTGCCCAAGATCCTGAGAGGAAAATGGAGGAGAAGGGATTGCGGTATGGCCATCCCCCCAGGGGGTGATTCCTTGCTTTCTATCTCTCTGTCTTTCCGGCTAGCGTATGTGTCCTATGGCAAAAAAACTCTTAAAAAATTTTTTTTACTACAATTGTTTTTCTAAAATGAAATTTCCTTGTGTTTCTACCAATTTTTTGTTTTATGTATTTTGTAGCTATTTTCCTGGATCTTATATATTCAACATTCTTAATGCTTTTTTATTCAGAGTAATGTGTCTTTTTTATTATATGACCTTATTATTTCCTTTTTTTTTTAAGTTTCTTTTTTTTCCCATTTAATTGCCAGAAGATATGTATGTTCACCAAAGAGAGAGAAGGAAAGGGGGAAAGGGAGAAAGCACCCCTCAATGGACTGTGGTCATGCCACAATCCCTTCTCTTCCGTATCTCCATTCTGACTGGATTTGGGGCATGCATGCACACTCACATGGTGTTTTTCAGGCTGCCAGGGCCAGTATTTGAACAGCAGTTGGCCATGTGGGAGCCTGCTCTTAACTACTAAGCTGCAGGGCTGGCCCAAGTTTATTTCTTCCATGAGAGGAAGAGAAAGAGAGAGAGGGAGGAGAGAGAGAAAGGGAGAAAGAGTGGGGGGAGGAAGGTACCCCCCAACAAGGTCCTCATGCCACGATTCACCCCTAGCCTCAGCCAGCCAGGCTCACAGGTACACACATGCATGCCCAGCATGTACGTGGAGCCCTCGGGACGTGAACCCGGGACTTTCCCACCTGGCTCCAACACTGCAGAAAGTTGTGTCTCCTTGTGCCACTATGGCTGGCCTTTTTCATCCTTTCAAATATTTTTGTTTAGTAGACAGTAAATGCAATTTTTTTTCTCAGAGAGGAGAGTTGAAAACTATGATTGTTATTAGTTAGGACTAAATATAGAAAAGAAAATGTTCATTGTTTGTTTTAATTGCCCATTATGCTGAAACAATGTGACCACATGTATTTACTTATGAGATACAAATAAGAGAAAGACATAATAGAAAAAAGACAAGGAAACATAAAAATTTAAACAAAATAAGAAACCAGGAAATGACTAAAGCTAGTAGTAAATGAATATTGTGAAAATTCTCTGAAAACAAAAGTGCTTCAGTTCAGGTTGAAAACCAAAAAAAAATTTTTTTTTTAAGGAATTGTTTTTTATTTAGTTTTATTCATTGCCATCATTAAATTTAATTATTTAATTAATTAATTAATTTTATTTTTGAAGTTGAACAGAGAGACACAGAGAGAAGGAAAGTGAGAAAACAAGTTGCCAGGTCTGGGACCCAAATCGCAGTCAGTCATGTGGGAGTCCAGCCACTCTAACCACCATGCCACCTGCTAGCCCCAAAACCAAAATTTTTAAAAAGTTTTAGTAAATTAATTATAACAGGTATACTCAAGGTTTTTGTTTGTTTGTTTTGGAAAGGTTTTTTGCTATAGGGTGCATGTGTTTGCCAAAAAGACAGAGAGAGACAGAGAGATAGAAAGCAAGAAATAGCCCCCCAGGGGGATGGCCACACTGTAATCCCTTCTCCTTTATCCTCCTCCAGGGATCTTGGGCATGCACGCACATGCACCCAGTGTGAGTTTAAGCCGCTGGGTCTGGGACTCGAACTGTGATTGACCACATAGGAGTCCAGCCACATAGCCATTACATCATCTGCTGGTCCCAAAGAAAAGAACAAAACCCAGAAAATTAGGCAAATATTTTGATCAAAATCAAACAGGAAAGGGACTAGCAAATGTCATAATGGTTATGTCACTGGACTACCATGTAGTCGACTGCACTTGGAGTCCTGGGCCCTGCAGCTTAAAACTCATGCCGGGTGTGTTTGTGTGCGTGTCCAAGATCCTGAGAGGAGACTGGAGGAAAAAGGATTGCAGCATGGCCATCTCCCCTGGGGGATGATTTCTCACTTTCTGTGTCTCTGTCTTTCTCTGTCTCTCTGGTGAGCACACGCACCCTATAGCAAAAATTTCTTAAAAAAAAAAAAATAAAAATAAACAGGAGAAGGAAAAAGGAGAATTTCCTGAACTATTTGTGACCTCTGAGAGTCCCTCCCCCTCCTTTCTTTGCAGTTCTTCCACGGGTAGGGTACCCCTGCTGGCCTCTGTGTCTCACTGCAAGGGGGCTCTAAGGGATCCCAGGAAGCTGTCCCGGCACAAATTTCAGCCCACACTCACATGAGGAAGGCATAGGAGCGTCTCTATTTTTTCTTTTTTTTTTTTTTTTATAATTTATTTTATTTTATTTACTCATTCTGTAAGGGTCCAGAGATTGGTCTAACTGATGGAGACACAGAAAAGACAATGACAGTGCAACTGCAAAAGAGGCTTTTATTTTTCCAGCTAGCTGGGGTCCAAGTTTCAGCCCGTCGCAGCAGGCCTTTACAAGGACCCCGTACCTAAGATAAAGGGATCTTTTACAGTTCAGGATGTTTTCTAGACTGTAACATACAAAGGAAGGGGGTATGAGAAACGAGGGTCCAGTTTTCACCCCCTGCTCAGGTCTAGATAAGGGCTCTCAGCTAAGGGTTTGGATGACCTTGCCTCAGAGGTGCTGGGCCCTCCCGTTTTCCACTTATCTGAAAGTTCCCAGACTCCTGGTTTCCGTTGTCGTTGAGGCCCTAACAAAGTGGGCTCGGTCCCTGAAGACTCAACAGTGTAGCGATTAAGCTAACTTGCCCCAGCATTCCCTAACATGGTGGTGATTATGCTAATTCGGCCTAACAATTCATTCATTGTTTAGTTTGACCAGAGAAAGACAGAGGGGGAGAATAAAATGAGAGAGAGGAAATGAGAAAGCAAGCCACCCTGGTCCACCATGTGGGAGTGTCCAGCGCCTTAAACACCACGCCACCTGCTGGTCTCCATCTATTTTTTCTTAATGTATC